TCTTAAAGAAAACTTGTTTCAAAATAAGTCTTACTTTAAATTTGTTGATGGCTGTTTTGAATAGTTATTCAGTGAGGATGAGACAAACTCAGGAGAGATTTCTTCAAGCGACATTGTTGAAGAAAGATGAGTTAAACTACTTACAGCAAACAATGGTGAATGGGAGATATTGTTGTCTTTTTAATAATCAAATGGCTCCAATTTTAATAGAATAACCTTATTAAGTTAGCAGGCTTACTGTAATAATACGATCATTCACTATATACTTATTTAAAAAATATAGTTTGTCTCAGAATTTATAGGAACAATAATAGAGAAGGAAAAAAAACAATCTTATAATTATTCAGTTGTTAATTATTTCGAAAAAAAACTTCTGCTTTGAATAGAGACGACTAATAAGAATTCTTTCTTTTTCTTTTCTCGTCTCTTATTTTCTACTACTCTTAAAATTTTCTCAAAAACACATCTCTTCATCAATTTGTTCGAAAAATTGTCAATATAGACGAGTTCTTTGTACAAAATCATACTGAAAAAATGCTTCAATAGAAAAATCTTTTATGTTAATTTACATTCGTTTTACGTCACCTTCTCTTCAAACACAGAGAATCCTTCATTGTTTGTCAGCAATACTCAGAATAATACATTGATTATATTGATTTTGGCATGTTCTTTTTTATACTACATTCAAACCAAAATAGCATCTCGATCAGATGAAAATTTTTCGCACAAACGAAATTCTTTTTAGTAAATAATTAAAAACGGGAAGTTTTATTTTTCATTACTGATTTTATATTTTAGTTTTTGATCGAAGAAAATAAAAAAACAAAACTATTAAAGGGAATTCATTTGATATGAAATAAATTCAGAAGAAATTGAATTTCCCATTTAGATAGATCTAAAGTTATTATCTCCAAGTTAATAAATAATATCTACTTTTCTATAGATAAACAATCAACAGGTACTGTGATAAGCCACAAAATATGATAGCCAAGAATTACATGATAAGCAAGAAAGTTTTTATGATTTAAAACCTGTAATTATGATAAGTTGAAAAAACAAGGCGAAATTCAAGTAAACTTATTTTTTCTTTTTTCTACACATTGTTTCATAGAATTTGATCTATTGATCCAGAAAAAGTAGTTTTCAACGTTTGTAAATACTCTTTTCAGCTCGACAAAAAGCCTCGAAATTAAGAACTCGTCTTTTGCAAAAAAATTTATTGATGGGACTTTTCGCAAAATTTCCTGTTCTGCTTTTTTATTCTGTATTGCAATTCAGCGTTAGAAATTGACAACGAGAATGCTCAAAGAGTTCCCTGGATTTAGAGCTCAAATTTTACCCACAAGTAGATATCAATGTAAGAAGTTAAAGCCTGAAAGGATTCGGACTCATGGTTTGTTGAAGTTGACTTATGACCATTTCACTGAATTTTCGATTGCAGACAAGGCATGCATCGAAAAATCGAACGATAGCATTTTGATGTGAAACTTTGTCCATACTGAGGTCTTATGGTTATTAAAATCTCTTAAAAATTTCAACCAAAATGGATGCTTTACCCGTAAGATATTGGATGGCTAGAAAACGATTATATGTGACAGAAAAGTACGAAAATGGAACAGTGTTGAAAATTCTGTATCTCAAGAATAAAGCATGTTTTGACTAAATGTTTTATAACATTCACGTAACCATGAGACCTCAGTATGGGTAGAATTATACGTCAAAATACTATCGTTCGATTTCTACATGGATGTCTTGACTGAAATCGAAAATTCAGTGAAATGGTCATAAGTCAATTTTAACAAACCATGAGCCCGAATTCTTTCAATCTTTGGCTTTTATACATTACGGTCTAATTCTGGACAACATATGAGCTCTAAGTCAAAGAAACACTTTGGGTGCCTCTCTCGTCAGTACAAAACCACTATTAAATTGAATTTGGTCTTAAAAACTCTATTAATGGTTGCAAACGAAATTGGTTTTATTCGCATGCTTATTGGGCATGTTTGGTCAACTATGTAGTTTTCTTTGTGTAAGTGACCAAACAGAATATTTTATTTTATCTAGTTTCTTGTGTCACCAGCCATGAAAGTATGAATTGATTATTTTACTTTCCTTGTCGTTGTCGAGAAAAATCATTTTTACTAAATTTTAGGCAAAATAGCTGGAATTCTGTCTGTATTTCTCCCTTTTTTTCATCCAAAATAAGTTTATCATATTGGAAAACAGCGTGAAAAACTGCATCAACTAATGTAGACTTTCATCAGTTTCATTATCAGTAGTTTTTTTCTAGTCTTCACCTGAAGCCGTGCCTGTAATTTTTACCAAAACAAAAACCACAAAATTATGATAAAAGTATATATCAGTCGATCTAGTAGTTTTTCATGATGATTCCGAGAATGATAATCTTATTAAATGAAAGCTTAGTTTTGAAGAAGAAAATGGAGAAATACGAACAGAATTATAATTGTTTTGCTCCAACTTTAGCAAAAATGATTTTTCTTGACAAAGAAAAAGAAAGAAAAAAAAGGCGATGCATATTTTTGTGACTAATGATGCAACACTTTAAGTGAGATAAAATATCTAGCTTGATAACTTACACAAGAAAGCAAGCTGAGTCGAGTTTGATCTGAAGGACTCATCTTTTTTGAAAGACTTTTATGACTCCTTAAGACATTCTTTGGACAGGATATTTTGATCCTCTAGTTGATAGAGTTGATACTAGTCTAATTTTTTACCAGTTAATTAGTCGCTGCGACTTCGTTACATATATCAATGCGATAAATTGACCATAGAGCGAAACCGAGTCGAGTTGACTTGAGTCTGGCTTTTTTTACTCTATATGAAACAGGCGAATGGAATCATTGGTTTATCATGCGATGATAGGATCGTAACTTGTTTTAATATTTTTTAATTGAAATTGTCGATTATGAAGCAATCATTTTCTGGAAACAATTTTTAGCATGTTGCCGAACACAATTGGCTGAATATTTTCAATTCTTTTGACAAGACTTGTTGATATATGTTACATTGAACAAAGACTACAATAAACTCTCAAGAGATTCGACCAGCATTCGATATTCGACGATGAAGAAGTTTGTTTTATCGTAGTTGGATCCCCTTCTTTAAATCAGAGTAACACCTCTCTCTCTTGTTCTCATCGGCAATTTGTCGAGATGATTTCGTAGATACTGCAGTATATATAAACTGATTTTGACTCAATAGAATACTAGGAAATCCTTATATCATCGATTTACATTAGATGAAGCAACTTAGACAAAGAAAATCACACTATCGCTTCCTTATTCATTTGATCTTTCTAATTCAAATCTTCCCATACTGTAATATCCATGTGTGTACTTTTCTACGAAAGAAAGATGTCAATTTTGTCTTGAAAGGTGTTGTCATAGACTAAAGTCTTCCTAGCAACATGAGGCACCCTGTAGCTATATCCTGAACATTATTATTTGGAAATATGCGAGTCAAAAGACTACTTCTTAATGAAACTATACTTGAAACAAAAATCGGATGAAAACTTTTGTCCACTACTGTATTTCTGAGAAATATAATTATTTGAGATGAGTATAGTGTCGACAAGAGCTTATGATTTTGATGTTCACAAAATTAAGTGTTAATCAAGTTTATAAATGAATAAAAAACTACTTCTACTTATCATCAGTTGGCATATCAATCCATCCAGGTAAAACTATTTGCGATTGATTCAAACGAATAACATCTCATATTTTGGTTTTAATAAATAAAATATTCGATAGATTAAGTTTTAAATCAAGCGAGAAAAAAAAGAGGTTATTTTTTGTATTTCTAAACAACTGAATTCTATTGTGAGAAAAAAAAAGAAACACACTGCAAGAAAAAATCCATAAACTTCTTGTTACAATCACATTTCATTTGTTGACTTTTTTCTTTTTTTAACAATTTCTCTCTATGATATGGCAGTCATACTTTTTCTTTGTTCTTAATCAAGAATTCATTTTTCATTCGAGAAGAAAAATTTATTTTCTTTTATATTGGTTCGTTTATTCTATAATAAAGAAAAAAATACAAAAAAAACGAAGAGAAATTTTTTGCCATAAAATAAAAATAAAATAAAATCATATTGTGCAATAACGTGAATTACAGATAATCATAGGTGGCAAAAAATAAACATAAAAACTGTTACAATTGACAACTGAAACAGGGACCAAGGTCAGACATATTAAGCCACCTGTCTCAAAACATACATCGCCACTAACTATTGTTCCTACTATTGATGGTAATGTTCCATTGAACCATCCTGTTCGAAAAGCACCACAATGATTTGCTCCAGGTGATGTCAGAGGAATTATAGTACCGCCTGTACCGACAAATCTAATCCATCTACCACCAATACTTTTATTGAATAAGGAACCATTATCGTATATACCACCTGCTCCACATGTTGCTATATTACGCGAAGGATCATTGACAACTGTGTATGATAAACAAGGTGGATCATCACTAGCTCCATCATTACCAACATCATAAATTGTTGATGCTGTTATCATTAATATCGTTGTGTCTAAACATTCACCAATCAAGTCAATGAGTTACAGTACTATTTAAATAGCCTATTTGTCCAATATAGAACAATTTTCTCACAGTTTCAACTATATTGATCGGATGAAATATTCTCTCTTATCTTTTATAACATGTTAAGCAAGTAATATT